TGTGTCACAGGGAAATTCAAAGATGAATAAGACAAATGAAATAACCAGAACACAAAAAAGACAATGTTGACACATGGTGAAAAATGTAACTAATGTCACTGAACAATTTGTGTAGAAATTGTCCAGTGGAAACCTAATTGCTGTGTGACCTTGCACTGAAAGCACAATAAAATATTATTTTTTTTAAAAAATGATCAGATATACTTCCTGCCGCCAGGCAGGAAGAGATAGAAAAATAATGATAATGACCACATATTGAGCACCGGCTATGTGTATGTGTCAAGTGCCATTCTGAACTCTTTACATCATCTTCACAACAGTGCCTTGGGATAGATGAGTGGGATTTGCTCCATTTTGTAGTTGAGGAAACTGAGACTCAGAGAAACCTAAGAAATGTGATCAAGATCACAAAATTAGTTAGGTCCTCAAGCAGAGATTGAACGTTAGATGCATCGCCCTGTGAAGGTTCTCCCTCTACTGAAATACAAATCATCCTACGTAAACCATATCCAACAGAGCTACAGGGAAGTTCCTCTGAAACTTCAGAATGGGGAGGACACATCTCACTTTAAAAGTTCAAGGAAGACTGTCTTCCACTGCACGCTTGTTCATTGCCACAGCCTAAGAACAAATCATTCTCATCCACACGATCCATAAACGAGCCTGCCAAAGCTAGTCACTGAAAATAAAGCCCAAGTCTACACCCACACCCCCAACCAGTTGAGAACTCAGAAAGATCCCCCAGCTTCCCTGGGGCCTCAAAAAAGAGGAGCCCTATTCTGTCTTACTGCCTGCTAAAGGAAGCTAAGTTCCTTGGAATAAGAAAGAATAAAGTAAGCCCAGGATTTTTTTTGTTGTTCTTGTTCCAGAAAACAAGGAAATGCTCAAGGACCAGTGGACTCATATCAAAAGGAAAGGAACTTTCTTAGAAAGAAAGCTTAGAAATTTGGGACAATTTGAGTATCAAATAGAATAATTACAGTAATGGATTATAGCACAGTTGGAAAGCAGGGGGATAAAAAGGAACCCATGTGTACAGTGATATTGGGAGAGAGGAGGAATGCTTTATAGAAAAATATCAGCTAATAAACGCAGAAGTAACTAACAAATTAGAAAATCACCATTGTACACACCTAAAGTAATATTTGGGAACTCTGGTAGCATAGTGCCTAAGGCACTTGACTACTAACCAGAAGGCTGGCAGTTCAAACCCACCAGCCACTCCTCGGAAGGAAGGTTGGGCAATCTACTTCCATAGTGATACCGCCTCGGTAACCCAAGGAGAGGTCGCTATGAGTCCGGTCCGACTCAATGGCACATAACAACAACAACAACAGAAGTGATATTTGATTCAAACAAAGATAATCATGCTAAAAACCATTGTATGAAAGGATCTTGGAGAACAGGGTAGTATCATGATCTCAGTGTCAGAGCACAGATTATTACTGATTACAAAGGGAGAAATGCACCTTTACAATGGAGAGACCTAGCAGTCCTCGTCTTCACCAAGCAGTAAACATTAACATCACAAATATTAGCACAACAGACATTATAAGGCACCTGATGTGAACCATAAGAAAGAGGTACACAAATACTTTTGTAGTATTTTTACCAAAAATGTTCAACTTTAACCATTAGCAACATGATGAACACAATTAATGTCACTAAACTATACATGTGAAGATTGTTGAAATGGCAAGTGTTTTGTTACATACATGCTTCACCACACACACAAAAAAGAAATGAGTTGACAAATCCAGAGCAAGTGGTATCTGTAAGACAGCTAACCTAAGTTCTCACCAAAGTCACAGTCGTGAACAATAAAATTAAATGGAGGGTCAATTCTAGATTAAAAGAGCTTTAAAAGATATAGTAACAGAATGCAACGTGTGAGCCTTGGTTAGGCCCTGAATCCTAGGGACAATTAGGGAAGATTGAATATGGATGGCTTCTTAGATGGCATTATGGAATTACTGGTAATTTCCTCAGCTGTGATAATGATGAGCTGTATGAGAATATTCTTATTTTTAGGAGAAATAAATTTGCACATTGAAATACTTATGAGTAAAGTGTCATGTCTGCAACTTGCAAATATGGTAAAATGTTAAGGTAGTGATTTAACTGTTCATTGTAGTATTTATTCTCCCAATTTTTCTGTAGGTTTGAAAATTTTCAAAATAAAAGTTGGGGAAAAGGTTACAATATATGATACTGCTAAAGGAAAAATATTTTGAAAAACTTATGCAAATGCACTTTGTAAATGAGAACGTATAAAACATATTTGACTGCCCTGTATTAACATTTGACATTTCTTTTCTTTCTGTGCTAGTGGTTTGGATAATAAGTGTTCTGTGTACCCACTGACTTTTGACAAAAATGAAAACATGGCTGCCAAAAAGAAGTCTGTTGCTATGCACACCAATTACCTGTCTGCTTGCAGCTTCACCAACTCTGACATGCAGGTAAATAAGCAGCCAGTGAAGGAAGGTTGGGCAGTCGACTTCTGTAGTGATCCCACCTCAGAAACCCAAGGAGGGGTCGCTATGAGTCGAATCTGACTTGACGGCAGTGAGTTTGGTTAGGTTTGGTTTGGTCTAGCCTGAAACAGGGTGAGTCTTGGAGAACCAAAGAGCAGCAGGGGAGTTGCAGGGAGAGGACGCTTTTCTGATGTCTCTTAACAGGATGGGTGTGCTCCAGCAGTTTGCTCCAGGAGGAAGTGCCTGTTGGTTCTCATTGGTTACTACTATTATGTTTAATAAAATCAAAGTAGGAAAGTCTGCTACCTCTCAGGTCAGGAAAGTAGGAAGGGGGGCTATTGGTTGTTGGTACAGTTGAGATAAACCATACACTATATTGAAAATCCTCGTATGAATGACTTGGTGGAGGTAGAGTAGGGAACCGTCTATGGTGGTAGAAATTACTATAGGCATACCTTAGAGATATTGCTGGTTCAGTTCCAGACCACCACAATAAAGCAAATATCACAATAAAGTGAGTATGGTGGTTATGTTTATGTGTCAACTTGGCTGGGCCTGGTTGAGTGGCTGGGCAGCTGGTGGTAGTTATTCCCCATGATGAGAGTGCCAATCAACTCCATGGTGGGACCTACCACAGGCAGCTGAGTAGCAGCTTTAGAGATGTGGCCTGCTTTCCTTATATAAGAAACAGCTTTGGGAATGGTCTCTAGCTTATGGCATGCTTGAGCCCTGCATGTAGCTGAGTCGTTCTTCAGCAGCCTGCCATGCTCTGCCAATTCTGGGACTTTCAATGGACTTGAATTGATGGCCTGCTGTGTGGTTTGGTAACATAGAGATGGTGGCATTCATTTTATTTGCTTATTTATTTATTATTGTGATTTGGGTGAAGGTTTACAGAGCAAATTCACTTTCCATACAGTGGATCACATATACTTTGTCTCATGATATTGGCCACAGTTTACCATAATGCAACAGCTCCCCTCCCACTTCCTCCCCATAGTTACCTCTTCCCTGTGTCCATCCCTCTATGTACTCCTGCCCCCTGAGCTGTCTTCCTATGCATAAGCAGCCCTTCTTTTTCTTTTTCTTTTTATATTTTATTTTTATTTGGGCTTGTTAGCCTCAGCAGCTAGTAGCTGCCTGAGTGAAGAGATGCCTCTAGCTTCAGTGGCCTGGGAGCAAGAGGCAGAGCTGAAGCCCAAGGTTGAGGGGCTTTCACACAGTCCCTAGAGAATGGCACTTTGAACTTGGACTTAAAGCCTCCAAATTGTAAGAATAAACTCCTATTTGTTCAAGCCATCCCATTTGTGGTATATTTCTGTCAGAGCAGGACTAGGTAACCAGAACAGTGAGTCACACAGATTTTTTGCTTTCCTAGTGCATATAAGGGAGCTCTGGTAGCTTAGTGGCTAAGGCACTTGACTACTAACCAGAAGACTGGCGGTTCAAACCCACCAGCCACTCCTTGGAAGGAAGGTTGGGCAATCCTACTTCCGTAGTGATACTGCCTCGGAAACCCAAGGAGGGGTCGCTATGAGTCGGGCTGACTTGACGGCAAATAACAACAACAACAGTGTATATAAAGGAGCTCTAGTGGAATAGTGGTTAAAGCATTTGGCTGCTAACCAGAAAGTCAGCAGTTCAAATCCACCAGAACTCTGCAGGAGAAATATGTGGCAGTCTGCTTCCATAAAGATTTACAGCCTTGGAAACCCTATGGGGCATTTTTATTCTTTCCTAAAGGGTCTCTATGAGTCAGAATTAACTCAGTGGCAGTGGGTTTGGGTTTTGGTTAGTGCATATAAAAGTTATGTTTATACTGTATTGTCTGTATTGAGTGTGTGATAGCATTATGAAAAAGTTGGAAATATTGTGAGAATTACCAAAATGTTACACAGAGACACAAAGTGAGCACAGGCTGTTGGAAAGCCAGTGCCGATAGACTTGCTTGACGCAGGTTTGCCACAAAACTTCAAACTGGTAAAAATGCAGTATCTGCAAAGCGCAATAAAGTAAAGCTCAATGACAGAAGTCTGCCTCCGTATTCCTGACCTGAGAGGTAGAGAGGCAAGGAACAGTTCTCCTCTAGGGCCTGCAGGGGGAGCACGGCCCTGCCAACAACAAAACAAACGCTACACACTGCCCTCCAGTCGGATCCGACTCATAGCGACCCCTCCTTGGTTTCCAAGGCAGTATCACTACAGAAGTAGATTGCCCCATCTTCCAAGGAGTGGCTGGTGGGTTTGAACCGCCAGCCTTCTGGTTAGCAGTCAAGTGCCTTAGGCATGGTCCTGCCAGCCCTTGATTTCAGCCCAATGAAACTGATACTAAATTTCTAGTTTCCAGAACTGTGAAAGAATAAATGTCTACTGTTTTAAGCTAGTGGGTTTGTGCTAATTTGTTACAGCAGTCACAGGAAACTAATACAGTGAGCAAGTTATTAGCCATAGTAAATAAGTTATTTAGTTGATTCAATCTTTTCTTCCTGGGAGCAGATGACATCCTAGAGCAAGAAGCTGGGTTATTTTTTCTTAGTTCTAGAATTGTTTATCACAAGGACAGGGAGTTATGTTGGTTTCAGTTCATGCTGCCAACCTTGTTACACTGAGCTCAGGAGCGCAGAGTCCAAGACATGATCTGGAAACCCCAATGCCTAGCAGAGTACCTGGATGTTGTTAGCACCAGCAAATGCTTGCTGAATCTATTTGTCCCAGCACCTATCAAAAACCCTGGAGCCCCACTCCCCCAACCCCAGAGCAGCAACCTGCTCTGGGGAAAAGTTGCAAAAGGAGCATATCTAAGCAAGTGCTGCCCATACACTTGCTACCACAAGTGTGGTCCAGAGACCAGCATGAGCATCACCTGGGAGCCTGTGAGAACTACAGATGCTCAGGCCTCACCCCAGAGTCTTCATTTAGCAAGAAGCCCCAGGTGTCTTGTGTGCCCATTAAAGGCTGACAAGCACTGGCTGCATGTTGGAGCCAGTTAAGGTTCAATTCCCAACCAATACACCTCATGCACAGTCCCCACCCATCTGTCACTGAAGGCGTCTATGTGGCTATGATGCTGAACAGGTTTCAGCAGAGCTTCCAAATTAAGACAAACTAGGAAGATAGGCCTGATGATCTACTCCCAAAAATCAGCCACTGAAAACCCTGTGAATCACAATGGTTCAACCCGCAGCAATCATGGGGATGGCATGGGACCAGGCAGTGTTTTGTTCCATTGTGCTTAAGATCACCATGAGTCAGGGCAATGGCAGCTAACAACAACAACACTGATAACACTCTTGCTGTCCTTTCAGATCCTCACGGCAAGCGGTGATGGGACATGTGCCTTGTGGGATGTGGAGAGTGGGCAGCTACTGCAGAGCTTCCACGGGCACGCTGCCGATGTCCTTTGCTTGGACCTGGCCCCTTCAGAAACTGGAAACACCTTTGTATCTGGGGTAAAAACTCAAGCAAAATCTCTAGGGATCCTTTGTCCACTAGGGAGACTTATGGGTGGCAGTTCTCGATGTATAGGACTAGACTGCACACTTCCCTAGAAGGGACTGCAAGAGCTGTCCTCAGCTCTCCTCTGCTCTCCCATCTCCTGCAACAATGACGTGCTGAGTCCAGGCCCTTATGGGTGGGTAGATAGTCACAGTGCTGGACTGTCAGGGTCTCTCCTGCTGTGCCACTGATATTCAGCAGTCTACACAGGGATCTGGAGGGCTCTCCTCGTGTGAATGCAGTAACTCAGGGTGCACATTGGCCTCTTGGTAAAATGTCATTCCTCAGTGAATAACAGAGAGCATCTGAGAGCCTTATGGACATGCCCCAAGGCACCAAAAGGGGCAGACAGCTGAGGTGATGATGCATGCCCTGGGGCTTATAGGCACAGGAAACAGAGTATTTAAAGGCTTAGAGCTGGGCAGACAAGTCACAGTGGCACAGAGGAGCACTAGACAAGAAATCAGGGTACATAACTCCTGGTTTTGCTACCTGACTCTAAAGTTCACCAGTAAATTGGGGATAATGCACAATAGTGTTCCCCCCAATCCCCAGTCCCAAACCCAAGGATATTATGACTATTAGTTGGGAAAGATTACAGTGTGTTATACAGATGGTAAACCAGTGCTGTTGAATTGATTCTGACTCATATCAACCTCATGTGTGTTGGAGGGGAACTGTGCTCTATTGGGTTTTCGGTGGCTGATATTTTAGAACTAGATCACCAGGCCTTTCTTCTGAGGCACTCTGGATGGACTCAAACCCCCAACCTTTCAGTTAGCAGCTGGGCATGTTAACTGTTTGCATAACCCAGGGACTCCATACAAATGGGAGGGGCAAGTATTTCTGCAAGCAGCCAGAAAACAAAAAGGGAGGATGGAGCTGGCTGACCCAACTCCAAGGTCTTGTCTTTCCTCTATCTTAAGAAAATGGCTAGACAGAACACATGACCTATTCAAATAACTTTTGCAGCTGGAAAATGTAAGGGTGTTTTTCTCTAAGCTACCACATCTCAGGCAAAGGCTGCACAACCTCCAATCAGCGAGGAGCCCAATTTTCTTCTTAGGTATTTGGCCCCATCTATCTGTGTTTCTCATAGCAACCCCTCCTTGGGTTTTCGAGGTGGTATCACTATGGAAGTAGATTGCCCAACCTTCCTTCTGAGGAGTGGCTGGTGGGTTTGAACTGCCAGCCTTCTGGTTAGCAGTCAAATGCCTTAGGCACTACGCCACCGGAGCTCCCTTTTTGGTTTGTCTGTGTTTCATTCCTATACCTTTGTATTTATTCCATTTCAACTACATTGTGTTTTTTCAAATTGTCAATGTCTTGCAGATTATGTTGTCTCTTTCAGAGCACTAAACTTTATATGATTTAGTGTCCCCTAAAGGTCTGAAGGCACTTCTGATTCCTTTGTGCACATCCTCAGTAAGGAACTCAGAGTGCTGAACCCTCAGCGGGTCTTTCTGAGGTATTAATTACTCTTCTTCCCCCCTTTGCTTTGTGTTGAAACCAACAACATGGACACCAATTTAAGCCGTTACTTCTTTGTGTGACTATTGAAAGTCTGAATTATACTACCCAACCTTAATAGCAGGACTGTCCTGAGGAATTTATCAAAATGATCCCTAAAGTATGGTGGTATAATGGGAAAACATCATTCTTGGGATTCTCTGGGCTCTGTTAGCAACCCAGAGAGAGATGAAGAGTAAGTATTGTCTGTTCTTACTTTACAAGTATTGAGGCAGAAGCCCAGGGAGGTAGGTTTGCCTCAACACCTCAGCTAATAGGTGGGCAGAGCCAAGTTTTGGTACTGCCAGTCAGTTGATTGGTGTCACAACCAGAGAGGCCCTAGCATGTACCCACTGTCTGCTTGCCTCCCCCTCTGGGCTTAGGAAGACATAGAGAGGAAGGAAAAAGGAGGGAAAAATGAAGGCAAGAGAAATGCTCAGGAAGAAGGTGAGAAGGATGCTCTTGAGGGTTTGCATACACTCAAAAATGTGTGGAAGAGGAAAGCATGCTAAAGGGGGAAGCCAGGCACCTTCCCTTGCTCCCTTCCACCCTAAGACCTAGTTCTGGCCTTCTGGGAGCTATCAGTTAAAGAAAGTGGCTTCAGGTTAGGCTCAGAAAAAGTATATTGTCAGCCATTTACTAACTGGAAATGAATAGTTTCTGTTTAATAACTGGAACTCATGCCTTATCTATAGACAGTCCTTGTTGTGGCCATAACTCTGGGTAACTTTACATTTGTAGGGATGTGACAAGAAAGCCATGGTGTGGGACATGCGCTCAGGCCAGTGCGTGCAGGCCTTTGAAACACATGAGTCTGACATCAACAGTGTCAGGTCAGTGAGTAGAATCTTCACATGACTTCTCTGTTCTGTAGCCTTTACTTGGCCTTGGATAATCCTTAGCTTAAGAACAATCCTGGAGCTCAGTTTACTTGTCTGAGAGACCCCTCCCCAGCAAGAGAGGCTGATTTGTGGTGGGACCGAAGAGCACTCCAGATCTCTTGGAAAATTTTAATTTAATTGCACTAGCGGCAATTGGTACTATCCTCCCTAAATCATGGTATTATCTCAGCAAATGCTAGAAATGCCAATTAAATATAATACCTGCTTCTGGAAGACTTAGCCTTAATGTGATAAATAGTATATATATAAACTAATAGTAGTATTTTTCATTCATTTATTCAAAAATATTTATTGAGCTCTTAGTTAGGACATGGATTTGTGTGGCAGAGACCCAAAGAACAGTGGCTTGAATGAGAGTTTATTCTTGCCTAAAATCTGGGCTGCTACAATGGCTTATTCTATCTTTTTGCTACCCTAGTCCTAGGATGGTAGCTTCAGCCTCATGGTCCAACTGGCCTATCACCATGTCTTCTATCCAGCCAATGGGAAGAGAAAAGTTGAGCTCATCACTTCTGCTTACATCTCGTTAATCAGAACTTGATTACATGGCCACACCTAGCTTCAGGAATACTTGAAATGTTATTTCCCTTCTTTCAATGCCCAGCAAAAACAATTGGTATGTCTCAATAGGCACTATTGATATTTTGGGTAGGACATTTCTTCACTGTAAGGGACTGTCCAATGCAAGACATTTAGCACCCTTGCTGCCTCAAGGCTAGTGCTAAATGCCAGTAGCACCCCCTGGGCCAAAAAATGCCTGCTCATATTTAATCGCAGCCACAGGAGAGAGGGAAGGTCGATATTGGGAGCACCAAAAGTCTCTTCCAGATAAACCATGCATTCCATTTCCTGCCAGTGTAAGGAAATCATGGCCCATATAATAATATAGAAATCATTTTTATTTAGCATCAGAAAATAGGAATATTAACAGTGCTTTCAGAAACCATGTGCCTACACCATGATGGACTGACCAGGCAGAGCTGGAAGTGTTTAGCATTTCCCATCCAGTCCACCTGTTCTCCGTCTCCCTCTTTCAGACACTGTTATTGACACAGAATCAGGCTTCCCTCTTCCTTGCTAAGCTTTTTGACTCCCATGTCTCCCAGATGATAAAAAAAAACAACTCACTGCCAGTTAGTCGATTCTGACTCATAGTGACCCCCTGTGGATTTCCAAGGTGGTAAATCTTTATGGAAGTAGATTGTCCAGTCTTCCTTTCACAGAGTGGCTGGTGAGTTTGAACTGCCAACCTTCTGGTTAGTAGTCAAATGCCTTAGGCATTATGCCACCAGAGCTCCTTTGTCTCCCAGATAGGAGAAGTAATTTCATATGCTGTTTTAAAGACCTCCTCTCATAACTTTTGTGGAGCTATAGAGTATAGGTCATTTGTACAAAAGAGGAAATGGTGGAAGGTGTGGGGGACTCAGCTGGATGGCAGCAGCAGATTGGAGTGGTTGAAAGACTTTTGTTCTAATCCTGCCTTCAGTTTACAATCTAGTGCTAATATTTCCCACTGATCATTGAGAAGAGAATGACTGAAGCAGTAACAGTCATCATTATTGACTGCTTTTTATTTGATATCAAGCCAGATTCTTTACATGAGCTCTCATTTAATCTTCACAACAGTGAATATGCACTATTATCCTCACTTTTCAAATGAGAAAACTGAGGCTGGGGAAGGTTAGGTCACTTGTCAAAATATCACATGTAGTAAGTGGTAGATGCAGAGTTCTGAATGGAGCTCTAAATACCTGTTTCCAGAATCTGTGTTTAGATTATATAGATATATCGATTATATAGATATACCTGAGCTCTGGTATATCTCACTAACACTCTGCCAGCCCAGAGTCACTGTCCCCAGGTCAGAAAACTAGAGGCCAGTGGGCCTGCTATATGAGCCTCCTCTTTCTAGTCTCTGATAGGGGTGGACTTTATGTCCCTGACAGTAGAGGTTCTGCTTCTGAGAACCTAGCCTGGGCTGACCTTCCCAGATGGTTCTTATGGGCATCTAGGTTTGAGAATCATTGCTCTAAATAAAGTGCTTTCCGCCCAAACTATCTTCACAGATACTACCCGAGCGGAGACGCCTTTGCTTCAGGATCAGATGATGCTACGGTATGTTTCTAAGTTACTGAGAGCTTCTCGTTTCTGAAGAAAATATGTTGTATTACAGTTTTACTTTTTAAAAATAGCTGTTTTCTAATTACAGAAGTAATATGTATTCAGTGAATAAAACTTAGGGGAAAAATTAAATCACCTTAACATCCTTACCTAAGAAAAATCACAATAGAGTGAATTCCTTTCTTTTTTGAAAAAATAAAAATGTTTCATAATTTGTTTTTTTCACTTAGCAATTGATTATGAACATTTTCCCATGCAGATAAGTATTTTTCTAGATTACAGCTTTTAATGATTGAATAGCATTCCATGTTGTAGACATGCCATCATTTACTTAACCAGTCTTCAATTTTTGGACATTTTGGATTTTTTTCAAGGTTTTTAATTTTTTTTTTTTCTTTTTCTGTTATAAACACTGCTGTAAACTTTTTAGATAAAATTTTTTGGTACATTACTTACTATTTCCTTATTATTCTCATACATGGATTGACTGAATAAAAAATAGGCCCAGTTTTAAGGCTTCTTAAACTGTCAAATTATCTTGACCTAGTTTTCAAGGGAAACAATATCTATTTTTCTGCCTTCAAAACATCAATTATCTTATTAAATAATAGGTTTCATTCTGATTTGCTGCTATGGAAAGAATTACAAAGCACTAGATTTGGAGCTTGATAATAATTAAAATTGAAAACTTCTCTGTGTCAAAAAACATATAACAAGACGTAAGTGTATATATATATTTTGGAAAAATTCTTGCCTCATATATGACAGACTGAGTGGAAATTCTCTAGATATGCATGAGGTTGTAAAATCAATAAAATGAGCACTCAGATAGAAAAGAGAAAACACAGGCTATTGACAAACTAATAAATCCGAAATGGCAAATAAACATCTGAAAATGTTTTCAAGGTCACCTATAATCAAAGAAATGCAAGTTTAAGCAATCAGAAGGCTTTTTGCCTCTTGGATTAGCAAAGAAAGACCCAATGGTGAAGACAGAGCCTTGGACATACCCAGGGTTGGTGCCATTGGTTAACACCCTTCCAGGGGACAGTGTTGGAATATGAATTGATTATAATTATGAATCAAGAGCTTTTACAATATCCATATCTTTTTATCTGATCAGTTCTATTCTGTTCCTTAGCTATTCTTAAGGAAGCAATCAGAGAAATGTGTACAGAGACGTTTATGTAAGAATGGTCATCATAACATTATTTATAAAGAAAAATTACAATCAAAACACCTAACAAGGGATGGCTAAATAAATTCTGAAGTATCTCCATGAAGAATCCTCAATAACCGTGTCATGTTTTCTAAAGCCCATTGTGCTAATTCATGACATAATGCTAATAGAAACAAAAATGAAAGGACTCCATTGAAATACAAACATAAAATAGAAATGAGTGAAGAAATAGTCCATACGTTAGTAATTATGTCTAGGAGTTGAGATGACTTTTATTTCCTTTCTTATGCATTCCTAAATTTTTCTGAATTTCTACACTGGACATGTGTCAGGAAAAAATGGGGTTATAATTTGTACCTGAAGGAATTTTCTGTGTTTTCTTTTTCTTTGACTCCACCCTGACTCATAGAGATTAATAGGAGTCAGGTTGAGTCAGGTGAAATCCTAGGAAAGGTTTTTCCTTTATCCCTCAAACTAGCCACCAGCACCTGTCTGTGTAGCCTTACCAAACTGGAGCCAGAGGTCAGCACTTCTTTGTCTGTTTATCTGCCCTCCAGTGTCGCCTCTATGACCTCAGGGCAGACAGGGAGGTCGCCATCTATTCCAAAGAGAGTATCATATTTGGAGCATCCAGTGTGGACTTCTCGCTCAGTGGTAAGATTTTTGTTTCAGAAACTCTGAGGACTGTAAAACTGGACCTTAGTGAAACCAAGCTCTCTAACAAGCTTCCTATCAACTAAATTTCCTTTGCTTTAGTATCTGTGTGCACGCCGGGAGCTCTGGTGGTGCAGTGGTTAAAGCACGCAGGTCAGCAGTTCAAACCACCATCCATTCCAGGAGAGAAAGATGTGGCAGTCTGTGTTCTGTAAAGATTACAGCCTTGAAAACCCTATGAGGCAGTTCTACTCTGTCCTGTTGTGTCCCTAAGAGTTGGGATCTACTCGATGGCAGTGGTTTTTTTTTGGGGGGGGCCACCTTTAAGTCAGTTCCAACTTATGGTGACCCCTGTGTGTCAGAGTTGAACTGTGCTCCATACAGTTGTCAATGGCTGATTTTTCTGAAGTGGGTCACCAGGCCTTTCTTCCAAGGTACCTCTAGGTGGACTCCAATCACCAATCTTTTGGTTAGCAGCCATGTATAACCATTTGGATCACTAGTTTATTAATTGAATGATTTTGTTTTTATTGAATGAATGAATGACAGTTAATGAAATGGAGAACAGGAAAGAAGTCACTGGTTTAAAAAACATAATGCAGCAAAAGCAATTTCACTACAATACACTACCAATATCTTCCCCCTTCAAGGTCGCCTGCTGTTTGCTGGTTACAACGATTATACTATCAATGTCTGGGATGTTCTCAAAGGATCACGTGTCTCTATCCTGTTTGGACATGAAAACCGAGTCAGTACTCTACGAGTTTCCCCTGATGGGACAGCTTTCTGCTCAGGATCATGGGATCATACCCTAAGAGTAAGAAACATGTTTTTTATTTTAACTCTGTGTGTGAGAGGCAAGAAGAGTGTTGACTGGCCATCCTTAAAGAGGTCGAGTGAACTAAGATGTGCCTAGTCAGCCACACTCAGCTCTGATTTGAGCTCTCCCCATAGCCAGAGTAGAAATCAATTACCTGAGCAGGTTATGAGGCCCCCACCAAGTGTTCAGGTGTAGACTAGACAACCATGTACAGTGAAACTTACGAGAGCTGGAACTCAATAGGACTGCCTTGTTTTTCCAGGTCTCACAAGTTTTCTACCTTTGACAGGGTGCAGTCTTCCCAGTTTTCTATCACTCCTTTTAGTGGAAAATATTTGAGTTTTCCTTCTCTGACAGGTTTCCACCTTACACAAGTTCCAGCTTTCACAAGTTTTACTGTATCAACATGTAGCTGATATAATAATTAGACTTTGTTTGTTGTTGTTATGTGCCGTCGAGTCAGACCCGACTCATAGCGATCCCTCCTTGGGTTGCCGAGGCAGTATCACTATGGAAGTAGATAGCCCAACCTTCCTTCCGAGGAGTGGCCAATGGGTTTGAACCACCAGCCTTCTGGTTAGCAATCAAGTGCCTTAGGCACTATGCTACCAGAGCTCCCTAATAGTTAGACTAGACGATCCAAATGGTTCCTTTTGACCCTAAAAATCTGATTCCTGTGATTCTAGCATTTGGCAAACTACACATTACCTGTCTTGCCTCCCTGTAGTGCTGGGCTCTTGTTCTGTGATCTCAGCCGCCTATGTGCATTTATGCATTTTTCTAGAAAGGTGTCCTGATGGTTTTCATCTGATTCTCTAAGAGTTCCATGACTTTGTCGAATGTTGACTCCCTAAAAATACTACCAAAATTGCCCTGTCATTAAGCAAAGCTAAGTTTATTGCTTACCACAGTGTAAAATATCACAAACTTAACAGTCTTAGTAGCATCTCAGATGGGAGAACAAAGGCAGATGTTTGTGAGGTTTTGGGGGTCTGGTTTAAGACATGTCTTTTGATGGAGGAACTTAATTAGGATCAGACAAATTTGTGGCATTATAGTTTAAGATTGTTGGACACAGGGTAGGGGCAAGGGAAGATTTTGAAGAAAGTCTTAAGGAGTAATCAGTAATTTGTTGCTCTATATTGTCTTGAGAAGTGGGTGTCTTTTCTAAAGAGGGTAAAGTGAGTAGTTTAGTCTTAGGGTAAATAGATAAATGGATATTCAGAGAGTTCCTGAAATGAACAGTAACATTTTTTGTGACTTCATCTTCCTTGGCAGGAGTTCCCTTGAATTAGTGAAGTCATGTTCATGTACAGAGTAAGCTATGTGGGTACAGATGGTCTTGGTTCTCAACCTAAAATAGTTGCAAACTCCTAGTTAGGAGGCCAGAGATGCCCTTCAGATGATTAACCAAGGGAAAGGGGAAATCGGTCCAAAGAAACACCTTTGAGTTACTAGGAATAAAGTGTAATCCTAAAACATGAGAGTACCCGATACTAGATGGACTGTGTGTGTGTCTAAAAGCCTTTGGTTTTATCTCTTTAAATACTAGTTCTACAGGTTGTTAACTATTAATGGACTAAAAATGATCTGTTTGTTTCTTTGCAGGTTTGGGCTTAACCACCTTCTCACAATGCATACAAAAGGACCTGAGGATAGAGTTTGAAATCCTCACATGTAAATAGATACTACTTTTAGATGACCTGAGGGTCATTGCAAATTAGCTTAAGGGAGCAAGCTCCATAGCTGAAAGTTCACTAAATGTCTCTGTGTGTCCACCTATTTGTTGTTGTTGTTGTTCGGTGTCATCAAGTCAGCTCCGACTCATAGTGACTCTATGTTCTACAGAATGAAACACTGCCCAGTTGTGCCCCATTCTCACAATCCTTGTTATGCTCGAGCTCATCATTGTAGCCACTGTGTCAGTCCATCTCGTTAATAGTCTTCCTCTTTTTCACGGACCCTCCACTTTACCAAGCATGATAGCCTTCTCCAGGGACTGGTCCCTTCTGACAACATGACCAAAGTAGGTGAGATGAAGCCTGGCCATTCTTGCTTCCAAGGAGCATTCTGGCTGCCCTTCTTCCAGGACAGATTTGTTTATTCCTCTGGCAGTCCATGGTGTTTTCAGTATTCTTCGCCAACACCACAACTCAGATGAAACTCCCACCCCTTGAAAGGCACTCATATGAGTCTTCAGTACAGTAGGAACACCTCCTAATGCAGTGCTTTTCATTTTCAACACTTTTCAATATTTTTCTCTCTAAAAGGTTATTCTAAATTATACTGGTCTCAATTTGTTCTATTACCAGTATAATTCAGCATTTCATACATTCCATATTATTTTCTTGAATCAGAATCATTTTAAGAGCACTTTTAGCTCTTCTGGTTTATCTCAGTGTGCACTATGACTTCTAGAGCCTTTCTCTGGAAATACTGATTTTAATGGACTATTTGAAGACTGTTGGGAGCTCTGGTAGCATAGTGCCTAAGGCATTTCACTGCTAACCAGAAGCCTGGCGGTTCAAACCCACCAGCCACTCCTCGGAAGGAAGATGGGGCAATCTACTTCTGTAGTGATACTGCCTCAGCAACCCAAGGAAGGGTCGCTATGGGTCGAGTCCGACTCAGCAGTACACAACAACAACAACAACATATGAAGACTGTTAATTGGTTTAAAATGATAGAAGAAAATTTCAAATCCTATTAGACAAAGTTGCTTAAAAGTTGTTTTAATGTAAAAGTATCTGTTACCATTCTCACTTCCCATTGTCTTTTTTCAGATAGAACATTTGCAGTTGTGTGAACTGGTTGCTAACAAAGCAGAGATATGCGTAAAAGGACAGGACTGTTTATCTATGAATTAGGAGATGATGTGATATATCATGGTGTTGCTTGAACACAGCATTTGCTTTCAGTTGAGGGAAAGACTGAATGCCGTTTGTGATACCAATGCTTCTCAGAGCAACCAAAACCTTTCTGTGCAGGAACAGAAGACAATAAAACTTATTTAAAAACTTAGTAGTATTAGTGGAAACATTTAGGTTAAAATCAATCTTGTTCCTATAAATTCTACTGTATTTATTGCATTGCAAGTGTAATTTAATATACAGGTTAGTTGATAGGTCTTGAATGATAATATCTTTATTCCTTCTTACATACAGAGGAAAAAATAACATAAAAGTATCTTGTCTTTATTTGAAATTCAGCAATTCCTCCGGAAATATGAAATGCTTTTGTTACAGGATTCCCCCCCCCCCTTTTTTTAAGGTGTGGAGGCTCATCCTTTATTTTAGAAACTCTTCTTTCACAAAGATGGCATGCATTACTTAAAAAAGGTCACCTTAGACACCCAAAATCATTCCTGGGTAAGGCTTGCCCTGTGGCTGGCCTGGCCAGCTGGGTCCTTGCCATGCTTGAGAGCCATGTGCTCTGAGTCTCCTGGATTGCAAGGTTTCCTCCCTTGGACCATCTCCAGCCAGTCCTAGTAGTACTAGTTCTAGCCTTGCAGGCACAGCCCCAGGCCCTGCTCCTCAGAGACCTCCTTCTATAGCCTAGTGCTCCTATAAACACTAGGGGGACGGGGGAGGGCAGATGGCCCACCCTCAAAACTGCTTGTTCTAGTGTCAGTCTGACCAGTCCATCAAAAATCAGTCCAACCAACTTTTCAGTCAACTCTTCTAAAGTGAACTTAATGGTTATATTCAGTCATTTGCCCAGCAATCATTTACTGAGGGTTCTACTACCCACTAGGCACTGGAGTAGAGAAGGAATGATAAATGATTTTTTTCTTTTTCTTTTTATTCTTCCAAGAGCCCTGTCAAGGAAGGGAACATGGTCCAGACAGACCATTTTTCAGCTACCCCCACACCCCTGCCAGTCTGGGCAAGCAAGGCTCAGGGAAATGGAAACAATGTCTACCTAGCTCCTGCCAACTAAAGGGGCCAAGCCCCAAAGTGTGTGCTGTGGAATTCCTGAGAATTCTAGAAAGTTCCAGAGTTTGCCCCTGGTCCATCCCCTCCTAGGTATGGTATTCCTTCTCTCTCACACAGACTTGTTTGTGTGTTTTTTTGCTCTCTGATCTGGGCCTTCTGGCTCCCAGAAGGAGAAATGGAGCAAAGGAAGGGTCCCGTAGACTTAAGAGGAAACAAATTGTATGTTTTGGAGAGCATCTTCAGTATATGTGCAAGTAGCCCATAACTTTCCAGGCAAAGCAAATTTCAAGTCACTATGAAAGTATTCTGCAGAACTCATGGGCAGTAAGCCACCACCCCGCTAAGTATTTAATTTCACAATGGGTGTTTAGTATTTATTGATAAAATATTGATTTGGAATATACTATATTATCTGGAGATCAAGATAAACTCCATATAATAAATTGTATTTTGCATATTGAAAATAATAGTGTATTTTTTAAATCAGTTTTTCTGTTTTTCTAGAGGACATGGAAGCAAACCTACCAAATCAACTGTGGTAAGGGAGCCAAGAAGATGTGCGCCGCCACCAGTCAGAGAAAAGGCTTAGTCAGGAAGGGCAGTTAGGTGAGGAAGTTTGGAGTGCCAAGTGGAAAATATTGTGAAATGAAGCCAAATCAGCTGTGGTCAGGCTTTCAGAAGTGAGAGCCACGGGGCTGCCTCCCTGTTCTCCTAGAACAAGCCAGAGGCCATAGGCAGGCCATCCATAGCCCATTCCTTCTCCCTACCTCTTGATCTACATACCCTTCTATAGATTATAAGTGGCTTAAAGGAAGCACAAGATCATAAGGGACTTGGTATCCCCCTTTGGGCTCTGACAGTTGTTTAGTCTCTAGGTGACACAAACTGTTAAGCATTTCGCTACTAACTGGAAGGTTGGTGATCCAAACCTACCCAGAGAAACCTCAGATAAAAGGCTGGCAATCTACTTCCAGAACATCAGCCACTGAAAACCCTAGGGGGGGCCCGGTGCTACTCCGACATACTCCACAGCAACTAGGTTTTACTTTATTTTATTTTATTCAGTTGGTTGGCCAGTTGGCTAGGTGGCACCACTGAGAGTAAGGACTCATTTGTAAGTTGAAGGGAGCAACATGTTGACAAGCAAAGGATGTGGGCCTAGGCGCAAACCTACCTTTATTATATTTTCAGGATATATAATTTCTAAATTTCAGCCTAAGTTTCCTCGTTTATGAAATGGGACAATGCTAGGTATAGAAAGTACCACCTCAGCCTTTGAAACAGCTTCAACAAGAGTTAGTTCCCTGCTTTCTCCCTCTGTCCACCCATCCTCCCTTCCTTGCTTCCTTTCCTGTTCCTCTTCTTTCTCCTCACTCCTCCTACCCGTTCTCCCTCTTCCTTTCTTCCTTCTCATGCCCTTCCCTCCACCCCTCATCACCCACTCCTCTGTTCACACCTCTTCTCCCAACCTCCTTCCTCTGTCCTCTTCTCTCCCACTGCTGCCCATACCTTTCTCCCTCATCCTCTCCCTAGTCCCTTTTCCAACCCCTTCTCTCTCCCCTTCCTCTTCCCTCCCTATCTTCCTCTCCCTCCCTCTTTGTCTCACCTCTCTCCTAGTCCCCTTTCTTCCTCAGCCTCCCTTTTCCCTCTCCCCTTCCTCTTTATTCTCCTTCCTCTTTCCCCACCTCCTCACCCACCATAGGCACTGCCCACACATGTATCAAATTAGTAATGATCATCAATTAAGGATTCATCTGGGCAGTAGTTCTCAAACATTTTGGTGTTAGGATCCCTCTACATCTCTCTCTCTCCAGATATTGGAGACAAATAATGCAGCTCAAATTTCTGGCTACTGGGAGGATTTTTCCCTCACCACTGTGCCTTATGGTCATCTGAACAGGCTTAAATGTGTGCTGCCCATTTCCATGTGGTGGTTATTGACATATCACATAGACCCATCTTTAAAAATCACTGAAAGTCCTCAAAGAACTTTTGTTTATGTAGATTATCAACGTGTATCATATCAGATTTTAAAACACAAGAATACAGAAGCACACCTCCCATTAACCATCAAGGTGATAATTTTATCATACATCACATAGCCTCTGAAAAACAAAGAGCATTATTATGAAAATAGTTTGTACTTCAAGGACCGTCTGGAAGGGTTTCAGGGATCTCATACGCCCTTTCTAAGAGCCTCCATGTGAGACCTTGCTGAGGCCATTACATGGGGGAGGGGGGGGGGCTTGGAAAAGAAGAAAGAAGACAGAAGGGTAATTGAGAGGGGACCTCTCAGAGGGGCTCTCATAGGTAATTTGGGGTGGCCTCGTGCAGCATAGGAGACCCCAGGATGCATACAGAGAGGCAGTGAAGAGAGCTGGAGATCAACTAGGGCCTGTGAACTGCTGGAAATCTTCAAATGAGGACAGCTGGGATCCTGGGATAAAACCTAAGCTGATAGGTGAGAAGATTAATGGGTCAGGCCACATTGCTGTCCCCAAAAGCCTGGGAGACCTAACTGAGCAGGATTTGTAAATCTGCATTACCCAAACATGCCTGCTGGTCCAAATCATCTGAGGCAACATTAGGTTACAAATATAGATCCTTAAGGCCCCTCCCCTGGAGAAATGGACTGAGATGGACCAGGAATTCTGACCAGAAGACAGGCAGATTGGAGAAACACCTGAGCAAATCTCTCTGGATCTTGTGCACATTCCTTTGGGAGAATGTCATGCTAAACCTACCTTCTCATCTGTTAAAGGAAATAATCAGGTCTCTCTTCAGGGCATCCTACAACCCCTCATTTTCCGGACAGGACTTGGCCAGAACCAGTCAGGCTTTCGTGACTAATCAATCTCCAGAGGGAGTCTGGCCTCCAGTGATCTGACTCAGGAATAATTCTAGTGAAAGAAATGAAATTCATATGTTTGTATCATTGTAAAAAGGACTCAGGTCCTCTAGTGAGGAGATGGGATCAGGAACAATGCTCTGGTTCATTTAATCCACATCATTAGGAACAATGAAACATAAGTGTAGTATGTGTTGCCTTCAAAATCCAAAATGGCTTACCAAGTGCTGTGCCTCTTTTTTCTAGGTGTTGCAGGATGCAACTTGTCTTTCACCTTGAACAGAGTGTTTTAATATGTTCCAGAACATTGAGCCCCCAGAAGCTTTACTTTTGGTATAATTCTGTATCAGTCAATCAAGAGAGAGCTGGCACACAGTGATTTGAACAGGGAAGTTTAATATAAGAGTATTGACTATAGGAGCTTTGGTAGCATAGTGGCTAAGACACTTGACTGCTAACCAGAAGGTTGGCAGTTCAAACCAACCAGCCACTCCTCGGAAGGACGATGGGGCAGTCTACTTCCGTAGTGATACTGACTCTTAGGGGTTGCTAAGAGTCGGGTCTGACTCCACAGCACAAAACAACAACAACGTTGACTCTAATGGATTAGAATGACCCTCCAGCCTTCTGGTTGGCAGTCAAACGCCTTAGGCATTCTGCCAACAGAGCTCCCAGTGAAGGATTAGCTAGTAACAGAGAGAACCCTAATGAATATAGGAATGGTAGCTATAATGAGAGCACTCACTAGCCCTAAAGTTGTTCCCTCAATTTGTCCAATTCAGCAATAACTAAACAGTACTGTGATGACTGTTTCTTTGTCTCCACCCATCACTAGACTGTTGGGTGCTTAAGGGCAGTGGCCACATGTCTTGTTTTCCATTATATCCTCAGTGCTAAGGGGGACCTAGCACCCCAAAGCCTCTGAGTATTAGTGAATGAATGAATGCAGGCAATCTAGCCCCCCACAGGAGAATTAGCCTGTTTCATGCCACAGGTGCCAGACTCAAAGGAATGGCTCTCCACCACACACCTGGGTGCTACTCTCTACTCTAGAGATACCGATAATCCCTGCAATGGAGCTTCA